ACCAATGATGAGAATTTAATTTTTTTGCATTTTTTTGTTTTAAACAAAAGATAACTTGCACTGGTGAGTCATTCTCTTGGATATTAAAATCATCATCGACTATTAATTGTGTAGTATATTCAAAAAGATGTGCAGTAACAGGTTTACCTCTGACACATTTTTGTATAATTACATCTTGATAACAACCCATAAGACTCAGGACATTAAGAGTACATTTATTGATTTTATTAAGACCATCTGCAACTATTAACACAACAATTTTTTGCCAACCCTCATTTCCCATATTTTTAACTTTTTTTTTGAACAAATATAGGCCACATTTTTGAAGACAGAAGACATTGTTTTAATAAAGTGAGTATTATTTTCATTATATATTGTAATAACAATCATTATTTCAGTATATCGCTCATTAATTTTTTGTCGAATTAAATATTTCTTTTTTATAAATTCGTCTAGATCGCATTTGATAGCTGTGTATCTTATATATGTAAACTCTTCACCTGATGTGTTTGAGACTTTTTTTAAAACCCAATTAGGTACAGGATGGTCTAATATACTGTTTGTAAGATTGACTTCCTTTTTCTAAAAATGGTCAAAAAAATAAAAATAAAAAAATAAAAAATAAATAAAATAAAAATGTAAAAACTGAGAGATTTTGTAAACCAAAAATTAGATACCATCTTTTTAATTTCCTAAAAATGGTAAAACAAAATAAAAATAAAAAAAACAAAAAAGGGTTTAATAATTTATCGCATAGCGATATATCGCTCATATATATGGAGTTTCAAACTTTCTTACAAATCATAATTTTAAGCAAAGTTTGAAACTTTGCATATAGGACTATTTGACTAGTGATATGGCAATAAATTGTAAAAAAAAAATAATAAAATAAAAATAAAAAAAACTGAAGATTTATAGTTACATGCTTAACTTCCTTTTTATTAGTTACTTTATTTGTTGTTCATGGACAAATTGATAAGAATGAAATTAATAATATTTTTTAAGATAATGAATATAAACTTCAGAATATTCTGTAAATACCTTTGTTTTTTGGCATTATTATAGAAGAATACTAGCTCGAATAAAAGTTGCCTCTTCAAAAACAAATATTAAGTTTATATTTATTTTATTGCTTAAAGTAAATTTTTACTAAAAAAAATTAATTTAATTTACAATGAATTAATTGGTGAATTAGGATTAAAGATAAGTAAAATTCTTAATCGAATTTTTTTTTCAAAACAATACTGGTTAACATAACAGTTCAATATTAACTAAATCAAACCTACCTATAATTAAACAATTAGACCAATTTCACTAATTTTATATTATCCAAATTTAGATACATGTATCTTGAAAACAGAATATAATTTATCATAAACAATGTGTATCAAAAGGAATATCAAAATACTGTACACCTGACTATAAAAATATATAGGGTGAGTCAATAGAAATCAAGCAAATTTTTTATAATAAAATTTTTTTTAAATTAAAAAATTTACTTGATTTCTATTGACTAAACCCATCAATATAAAGAAAAAGCAATAACGATAATTAAAACACTACATAATTTCACAGACCCACGGGTCCGTTAGATCATATGATCATAGTAATTTGATAAAAAAAAATGAAAATTTATTCAGTTTACAAAAACTAAAGTGAAAAATCCCAAGATATCGAAAAAATTATTATTGTTTCTACAAAATTAACTGAACAAAATAAAACTAAACTTTAGAAATGCGATCTTATATGGATTACTTTTAAGACAATTAATGGTATAGGAAGTTTTGAAATATGATTTCATTTTCTGATTTGTAAAACGTTGACCTTTCATAGTATATTTTATAAATAGTGTCTTTATCCCAGATAATGAGATAATAAGAATCCTAGGGTGTGGTGACTTAGTGAAGTGGTGAAGTTGTCACACCCCCAAGTGGTTGAATACAAGTTCAATTCCTACTGAAGACAAAAATTGAATTTCGAAAAACGGATTCGGTAACTAACACCGTGGCTGGGAAAACTTGAGACCCTGTACTGTGGTCGTACCAATTCGTCGGAACTGGAAGATCTTGGGGCTTTTGTGTAATAGAGGGGTTACATGAATATGCACCAAATCGTAGAAAGCCACAGGGCCGATACGGCGGTAGGGCATTCGCTTGGCAAGTCCTGAGTAGAGAGGTAACACAGATCTTCGATGGTACTACGTAAAGGATTATTATCAAAAGAACTAGCAAAACTGAACGGGACCAAAGTGTTTGGCAGTACTCCACCAACCAGGCCGC